ATTTGTCATGATATAACTGCCTAATCTTTAAGATCTTACGTGGAAGTCACATCATCGTCTAAACCAACTCACTGTATCGTAACAACTACCAATATATGATGAAGAACAAGCTTAGGCTAAAGAAAGAACAATATATTTAGTATGAATAAAAGATATAAGGTAATATTCAGCAGGGACCACGCACGCATAGCCGAGCCATGCCATTCGATCAACTCTAATTCATTCAATTCCTTGTTCGCGCCTTCTTCATCGTTAGGTATTTCTCTGCGTTAAATATTGAATATCTATTTTCCGAGTAACCTCGTATTCAGCTTTGAGAATTGTGTGGTTATGGTCCAATACCACTACAATATGTACTATTTGTTCTATTGATAGAATAGACCAGACCAATAGTTAACTGGTCTTTGTTTGGATCGCGGTGCATGATAAATGGAGTGCCAGGTTGCCCGCTTAAACACACATAGCTTTCTAACATCCGATATATGATAATAGGAAACATAATCCATATACAAATTGAGGAAGTGAATGAACACTTTAACTCTAGTGTTTTGATATATACTTAGATGTTCGAGGCTCAATTCGGTGTGAGCCTACCAAGCCGTTGGAAGTACACAAATGATTGACCGTGGTCGATTCTGAGTAACTCAAAATGCCGTTAATCTGCTTTGTGAAGGGTGAATGTTGCGTGCGACAATAGAATGAACGAGGTCTACAGAGTCGTGTCTGATCTGACACTTCTGAATGTTTGAGTTGAGTCGGCTTCCGAGAACTGCAACGGAGACTCCAGAGGCCTTAAGGAGCCGAAGAGTTTCCATCCAATCAGAACATGATGGAATATCAACGTGACATTCTGCAATTGGATAGTAGCATAATACATCTCTTTGCGGATTTGCCGAATTATGGTGTTGATTCAACAAATGCTAATATCTATAAATAACCGTGATTTTCTTTACATTTAGATTCTTACCAAATAAACACTCCTCCAGCTTTTCTTCTGTTTTCTGATTTGCGACGGTGAAGTTCCAACTTTCGAGTACCGTAGTCGTAAACCGTATTCTGCGTTAATTAAGTAGCGAACTTAACAGTAGAGATGGTGTGTACCACTAACAATGCCGACTACTCTTGAACTAATAAAATCCACGCTTGGACGTCAAGATTAACGGTATGAACAGTTCTAAGTGCGGATGGTGGAGAAGCTAAATCAACAGATGAGTATTAGTCACTAGGAATTTGCTGATGATTCATGTAATCATCATACCGATTCCATCATCAATTCTATCCATGAATTTAATTTCAATGGTCTGAATGGCATTACTTTTGAAACCTAGTTTAAGAAATATGGAGATTTTTTCAAGAAAAACTTGATGACACTACCATGGTCAGAATACTCTTAAGAAAACTTGACATGGTTGAACGTGAATGATACAGTAACTTCATCCTTCCCAAGAATCTAAGAGATTTTTCTTTTTATGCAACAATTGATATTTTTTCGCAAATTTTTGCTGAACAGAAATCCTTTTTTAATATTCGTTATCAGTATCTCAAGATAACAAAAGCAAGTGATGATTACTGGGTGAAGCATGCGAGTTCAATAAACTGTGAGTGTGAGCGTTTCAAACCATCAGCAGTGATAGAAGATCAGTTTAAGTGTCTTTTGTTTGCGTAATGCCTCCAATCTCCCAAAGATACTGATATAAGCACCAGGATCCTAAATAAAATTGAACAGCGCCCGAATGTTACAGTACAGGAAGTAACCACGGAGTTCCAGAGATTGGTAAACTTGAAACACGACACTTCCATAGTTGAAAATAATAGCCGATATCCACAGGTTCATGTTGTGAGCCAAAAGAAAGATTCCTGCTAAAGAAAATAATTTCGCATATACAACCAGCCATCATCTCCATGTGGAGTTTGGCATTATAAGAGGTTTTGCCCATGTAAAGAATATTGTTGCAGTAAATGTCATCGTAAGGGCCATAAAGTAACCAGCTGAAGAAAAATGACCCATAAACGACATTCTTCGAAACCCTATTTCGGAAAACACAGATCCGGTGCATTAACTAACAAAATATTGGTATCGCATAACCGAGCACGAATCGATCGCAGCACTCGACTTATTGGGGTTAGGTCTTGTAGATACACATAAACTACCAGACCATTCTATTAACAACATCTACAGATCAATCAGAACTGATAACTTCTTAAAGTGGAACCAGAATCATACCGTGCTACAAAGACACTACAACATGTTTAAAGAAGGATTAGGAGAATGTACGAGGGCCAAAGCATTGTTAACCCCCAAACCTAGAGCCACTCCCATCTTTCGACCTAAAAGACCTGTACCTTACATTGCTCTTCCAATAGTTGAACAAGAATTTGAACGGCTTCAGAAAATGGGTGTTACTGAACCTGTAAACTTCCTAACTCTAATTTCTAATTACAACTCTTAAGTTTATTCCTCTATACTAGTTTACAAGCCTATTTTGACCCTAATAAGTGTTTGACGTTTTCTTAAGGACACTTTAGTACCGCTATAAAGTCAAGTGGATACTTCATTTTAAGAAACTATAGGAAAGAGAATTCCTCGTGAGATATTTTCAGGCCTTTCGTTTTCATGTAAATGATACATTCACAATAACTAAGCCATCGACCTTAATATTTGCTGATGATATTATTGTCTGCAGACCCACACAAAACGAAGAAGATTGGGAGTGTATTAGTTCACACAGATCAATGTAGCAATGTACACGACTATGCAATAATTGGAATAAAATTTTTGATAATAACGATATTGAAAGAACACTTAGTAATCACCTCAGAACCACTAATAATTGTTAAGTGACTTTTACCGAGGGATTCAATTATTGTGAGTTGTTTGTGGAACGTTTTGTATTTTCATTGGGAATCACTCAAACTATAACTGACGCATGTCAGCGTGCATTAAGAATATGAATAATTCTGACAATTGCTTAGTTTGATTTTCTTGGTTGTCGTATAGTTCAGTTTAGTCGGAAGAATTATGGTATACTTAAGTATAGTGCTTGAATCCTGTAACGAAACAGATCAGTTCAGTAAGTAGAGCTGCCTTTTTCTAATGAGTATACTGATTTAAATCAGTCTGATTGAAAATAGGAAAAAATGCCTTTGGTACTGTTGTTGTCATACATTATGAGATAGCTTTAAGTATGTTTAGTGTTTATTTCTAGAGTGTACATCTATCAGTGACCATATTTCAAGATCACTGTCATTAAACAATTTCCCCAGCAGTAACGTCGGTAGCAGGATAGCTAAGCGTCTGAGCTTTCGGTTGCCCCCAAAACAGCAGTATACAGTCTTAGAAGATGAGTGTTCTGTGTCTCAATTAAATGTAGCTGACTGTGGATAAATGTTAAGAATCTTTTTGACAACTAGGACTTTTAGTTTATCAGACACTAACTCTGCTTGTATGTCTTCCTGTTAAACTAGACACAGACGCATGGGAATACTTAAATGGGAGCAAAATAATGAAAGCATTGCAATACGGCACTAAGCCCACGTGATGCTTTGCACAAGTAATAGTAGCTGAACTGATCTAATATTAATGAACTCAAGGTAAATCACAACTGCATAAATTATTTGCTAAAAAACATGTAATTTGGTTATTTATCTATTTCACATTTCTGACTAAATTCCTTACTATTTTTTTTCATTTTGAATGCAAAAAGAGTGAGCCTTTACAGATCCTAAGAACTGTTTCGCCCCTAGAACTATGGCCGTATGAAACTTTACGGGAAACCCAACTAACAGCGGATTATAAAAAGAATGCTGGATATCCATTTTAGTCTCACAACCACTTCCAGTACTTTTTGAGTTACTTCTTTTACACCTTCGTTTGGAAAAAAACAACAAAGACTGCAGCTTGACATTACCAATGCAACTTTTAAACGGGAACTTCATTTAAACCTTTGTTTGACATTCAACTTTTAATGAAAGTTCCTGAATAAATTTTTGAATCTAATGCTACTTTGTTTTATCTGCTTAATCGTTGCAAGAAACATGTGACACACGAGCCTCTCAGCACCTAGTTCGTATGTAGTAAATCTGAGTGACTTAGTAAATATCTTCGTCATTTTCGTGGGAAACCTACAGACTCGGATCTTCTCATAATTAATTCTAACCACCACGAGTTGTCACGGCAGATGACGGGTGGACACGCGTTACACATCCTAATCGTACTTGCGTCTAGTCTCATAGCTTCTTATTCAAATGCCATATGATAAGTAAGCAATGCCTCTACCCAAACTAATGGAACATTAGTAACTCAAATGCACCCCGTATGGTACCTTACACTGGTCTACGCACTCGCTTAGCTTTTGAGTGAGAACAAGGTGAGAGTGAACAAGGTAAAACATAACCGATTATCATTTTAAAACATAAGGTCTTATGTTAGTACTAGCTAGCTTAGCTGAAGAAATACATTGACTTCAGCAGTAGCAAGAAAGCCCAGAAAACAAAGCAAAATCAGGAAAAATTTTGCTCCAGCGTTTAGAGTATTACATTAACTTCTGCATTTTAGCACACTGAAACACTAAATTATGTAGCTACACAAAATAAATAGCGGAAAAAACACAGAACGAAGAAAGCCAGCGGACATTTTATAACACAAGACTAGCTAGATTGCCTGAAGAAATACATTGACTTGAGTAGAAGCAGCAAAAACCCGAAAAACAATGCTGATTCGAAATAAATTTCACACCAACATGTAGAACATTACACTAACTGCGGCATTTTAGCCCACTGAAACATTAAATTACATAGCTACACAAAAGAAATAGCTGAGAAAAGCACAGAACGAAGAAAGCCGACTGCTATTGCTTGCAAAGATGGCGGATATAATAAATCCCGCCTCATTCTGGTTGGTTGCTGAGCTGAAAGCCACATTTACGAAATAGAGTTGAGTTTAATAGCAGCCTATTATTGTTTCGGCTATGGAAAGTATATATTTTAAAGGGTTTAACTGCATGAATTTAAAATGGCAACGGACGTCTCTGGTCTATTTCATAAACAGAAATTATGACTCGTAAGTCTATCTCGGTTGTGCTACAGTAGCTTAGGAGGATATCTAGTAATGGTTGACAGATGATTTTGGTGTTAATTGGTCTACAGTGACGTGTAAAACCAATGGCTTTTGTAATGACAAGGTAAAGATTACAGTTTTCCTCATTTTTGACACTTTACACGTAAGAAAATTTATATTCGGTATCCGTTTTTACTCTTCATCACCTGGAAAAAACGAGTATAATTTTTTCGCCGTACTAACACACACGCGCTACAGCTATTAAAATGAAATAAGCGCTATCTCTGTCGCTTGTTCTTCTACTTTATTGGTCTCGTTCCGTGAGTGAAGATCATAATGGTGTTATAACATCCGTTCAGGACGTAATACACTATGTTAGAGTTTTGGCCCGGATTGTTACTGAATAATACTATGGGATATAATATTTCTTACCACGTTGTTGGTCCCATCACGCTCAGTGAACCTTCGCCGATCATGTGAACTCATTTGTAAATTTTATCTCGGAAGGAGGTAACAAGTAACATTTCATAACAACTGTTATCATTTGTCATTTTATATATCATTTTGTAGTGAGTGGTATTTGTCGCCGTTTTACTTTATTCAAAAACAGACATTTCAGGTTGTAGTGTTACCTCTTTCTGATGTGCCATTGAAGACTGTGCGTATAGTAATATATTGAATAAGATCTTCCACTAGGATACACCACAGGTATTATCTGAAGATAAATAACGAAACTGTGCATTGGACGTTTTTCGGCTTGGCACCTATTTCAAAGTTTTTTGCTACATGTTATTTTCTGGTTAGTTTGATGTTCTCATTTTCACCCATCATAGTCAGTATCTGATGCAGTTTGTAATCTTAGCTTTGCTTTCACCTACTGCTGCCAATTTGGCGCTTTTTGTACCAAGTCGGTGTTAATGCTATCAATGCTGAGTAGATGGATGATACACTACCCAATTCCACTTTCATGGGTAAATTTAGGGGTTTTCCTCAAAGTCATAAGAAATAAGGTAGTTCTCCTCAAACTTTGTGGAAATTATTGGGAAAAACTTCAGTGTTAGATGGTTCTGCTGAAACATTGCGGAAAACGCAGTTTCCCCAAAGCCTTGGGAAAACCCCCGAGCTTCCAATTTTGGGGAATCTCCCGAAGTCAAATGACTTTCACTAATGTTCGGGGAACTTTGTGGAATTTACGGGGAAATCCCCAAAGTCGAATGACCTTGACCAAGGGTAAAGGTGAATTTTGGGGAAATTTCGGGGTTTTTGTGCCATTTCCCTAAAATTTACTTTAGCGGCTTCCCCAAAATATGCCAAATTTTCCTTAAAATTAGGAGCTCGGGTCCCAAGACCTGGGAAATTTTTCTTGTTTTTACGCCACCTATCCAAATTTCCTCAAAGTTTTCTACAGAGGTTACCCAAAAATAGGGAGTTTGGGTAAACTTATCATATAACACCTTTGGTTCTTGCGCTACTTGATTCTGTTATAATTTCATGTCAAGAATTTTACATTTGCATTTTTATAAAGTGATGCTTGCAAACGGTTAACGTGGGCCGTACTTGTGAACTTTATATCATTGTACACTTTCTAAGTCGTTTGATTTAGTTTGAGCTTAATATGTCTATTCAATAAACAACATCCGTCCGTGTGATTTTGGCTTGCTTTGCCCACTGTTTTACACATACTTGACTTTTTAGCTCCGATAAAATGTTAGCTGAAAGCTCGAGCATATTTGGTATATGTCATTTAACGTATAGTCGACGCCGTATGTGTTGGTCATGTTACAAAAAGTAGTTGACGTGCTTCTTTATTTACAATACCAGCATGTACTCAGGGAGATGCTGTGTATTGCATATACTTCAGAGATATCTTACAAATACTCGCTTATTAACTAAAGAAACGACAAAATACAACTATGGTCTTCTATTTATTCAGTTTTCCGTGCTCATGTTAGTTCGTTTGACCCGTGATTGGTTTAGTAGTCACTAAACTTGTGTTGGTTTTTGAGGAACATGATGGAGGTTTCAATCTCCCAGTTTTAATCTATTTATTTTACGTTCATTGAGTCAGAATATTATGACAATGTTAGTGCTGTAAGTTTGCTTTCCTAAATGTTTAAGCTATAATTCAGTACATTTAAAATATTTCTCATAGCAACTTCAACAATAGAATGTTGTTTTAGATTTCATAAAAATCCACTTCGTTTGACAAGCGGTAAATCGCACTGTTGATTCTGTCGTTAACACTAAAAACAAAGGCGTGTGCAAAAAACATGCTTATTTTGAGCAATGAGGCTGATTCTAGAATAATTAAAGGTTATTCCAAGTGTCAGGAAGCTTTTCTCGGAGATCTATTTATAGTAAAGCACTCTACCTCCGACGTGACTATATTTTGTGAGTAAACCAATCACGTATAAGATAACAGGTCTCGGATCTTAACTCGAAATTCATTCATTCGGATAAATAGCTGATGTCAGTTCGTGATGAAAACCCTAAATATAATTTCTAACATTAATCATCAGCTGTAAATGATAATTTCGATCTCTCACACGGGTTTGTAATCCTCATTTGGTCCTGGTTCTTAGGTGGACACTCTCAAGGTCAATCTGGCGTTGCTCAAAGGTCGTCCATAAACTATTGTCTCACCCTATCTCCAATAAACCTAGTGCAGACACGTCGCCAGAGCTCCCCTTCATTTTATCTATGGTTAGCACAAGTCAACAATCAAGCGCATTTTCACATACGGTTGCTGAAATCAAGAAGATTGACAGGGTTCTGGAACACCAAATGGTTGAAGTTTGAGTGATTTAACCACTAACCTGTCCGGCGCTTAAAGTTATCTTACATTAGATCACCTTCCTGATTAGTTTTTGTTTACATTCTTTTAATTCTGTTTTCCAAGTCACCCAGCAGGTCATTCGTGGTGAATGTTCTGTGCTATCTCAAGTCCGTGACCGGCCGAAATTCCTAATGGTGCCATCAAATACAGAATCCGAGTCAGACTTTCTGAAGTCACCTTTGCCGCTGAAGCTGGTCTCATTAAACGTTTGCACACTGGTGCAAATCGCACAACATATAGGTTTTTATGTCTTTAGACTGAGCCATTTGAGTTGGTACAATCTACCCGGTTGCGATCCTCGTGGTTATCATAACCAATAGTTAGAGGCTTGAGGTGACCGAACTCAGAATAGTCCACAGTGTCGCAGATGCATCTATTCTGTATTAGGAATTCCTAAATTAACTTATTTTTATTCCACCGATCCATATTTTCTTCCGGTACCGTATCTTCTATGCCTAGTTTTTTTTGCTACTATCAGTACTGTTACTACCTCTACTATATTATATATATATATAGTATATAGTATATATATATCTCGCTGTGCAAATGGGTTGGCAACTTGAATCTATGTCCATATGTCCCAGGTCCTACTTTGCATCTGAATGAATAACCGGTCTCGGTCAGTCAGTCAGTCAGCTACAACGTAGGACCAGGCACATATGTGCATCGGTCAAGTTTGCCATACCGCATCAGCACAACAAGATGAACACCGGATTCATAGCAGTGGTTAGGTCAAAGGTGGTAATGTATAAGAGAAAGATTGCATATAGAGATATAGTACAAGAAGAAAGAATTGGTTCGTAGAAAGAAAGATATGAAGTGATTTTAATCTCTTAGTTTAAGGGAAGACAGGGAGTGTATACACCGACGCCATTGTGATCGATTCTGAGCCATGTCACCAAGAGTCTCCAACCGTTGGTTACGATAGTCACGCGCACCCCAACTAAGTAGTCTGCATCTACCAACCGGTCTAGAAAGTCTTGGTATCGTTGTCTGCCATATCTCTGAGATCACCATTCAAGACTTTCATAAAACTCTCTCTTCGTCTTTCGATTCCCAAACACTTGTTTCGTGTGCTCTTATTTGGGGACCTTGTTTTACCTTTGTCCTGTTTGGTTGGGATGGTTGGAAGAAAGTTAGGGGCGGCCAAACCAAAACGTGGCATCAGTGCTTGAAGTCACTAACGTCTGTTCTGAGCCATGTTGGTAGATACAGACTACTTGGTTGGGATATGCCTGACTATCGTAATCAATGGTTGGAGACTCTGTGTGACATGGCTCAGAATCGATCACAATGGCGTCGGTGTATACACTCCCTGTCTTCCCTTAAACTAAGAGATTAAAATCACTTCATATCTTTCTTTCTACGAACCAATTCTTTCTTCTTGTACTATATCTCTATATGCAATCTTTCTCTTATACATTACCACCTTTGACCTAACCACTGCTATGAATCCGGTGTTCATCTTGTTGTGCTGATGCGGTATGGCAACCTGGACCGATGCACATATGTGCCTGGTCCTACGTTGTAGCTGACTGACTGACTGTTTGGTTGGTATTGGTGTCGAACAAAGCACAAAAACAGAGGCAGCACGAATCAATTAAATTCCCATCGGTAGTTGTTCATGTGTTGCTACGTTAGAAAGCTCCACCAAGGTGATACTGGCATAGAAAACGACATCTCGTAATCTCAGTCTACGCCCCGACATATTACAGTCGGAGTAAAATTAAATATGAGTTCTGCCACTAATTAAGATTATGTCATTAAGCCACAACTCGAGCACAACCTGCAGCATCTTAATCAAGTCATCTAGACCGCACTAGGCTGTGGCCAGATTCGGGCACCCGGGCAGTATCACAGCCCTCACAAATATCAAGTGAGGTCTGTGTGGCACATATGTATTTGGTGCCTCCTTGTATCACTATCTGTGTTAAAATAAATAATAAAGATTATATCAAAGAAACAAGTTTGACAGATATTTCAGTGATATCTGGAGATCTAATTACTCAGGTTATGGGTCTAGGGACAGAGAAGAGTAAGAGAGAAAATTGTTTTTCGGAGCGAGAAAAGTAGTTGCCATAGACATAGAGTTCATCGTTTGTGTGTGGGCTGTGATACTGCCCGGGTACCCAAACCGAAGCAGGTGGTTATCTTAGGGGGCCACTCCCCGAGCCTTTGACCTAAAGGTCTAGTCCACAAGGCAGTGGAGCATCGTAAGGAGATGCAATCCCATGGAAGCCGGTGACCAAAGATTGGTTCATACGCCATTTGTTCCCGCAGGATACTGGAGCCCATGTGCACCATTGATTTAGAATCCGGTTAAAGCGCCGGACATTCGCTTTTCGTCCTCTCATTTTCGTAAACAACACCCCCGCCACGAGAAGGCAATGAGCAGGACTTCCCTGTCAGAGGCTGTATACGCGCGGCCGTGTGAGAGTATTTCGAGAGGGAGAGCGGACTCACCCCACTCTCGGCCGTACCAGGGCATTCGGGGGCCGATGTGCCACCTGGCGTCCTCCCTCTGCATCCCAAGCCTGGACTCAGATTGATCACATCGCGATCAGCTACCGCTGGCGTGGTTGTGTAAAAGACTGCTGCTCCTTTTGGAGTACCTATCTGGACTCTGACCATGCCTTGGTCTGCGCCAATCTTACCTTACTTTTCAGTGGCCAACGAAGTGACCGTCACCAACGAATTGATGTTAGCAAGCTGGTTGCAACTTCTGTTACAAATAAGTATCGAACCGAGCTAGCCTCTAGGCTAGCTACCACTCCACCAAAAAGTATAGATGAGCATTGGTTGCAATTGTATGACCACATGAAAATGGCGGGTACAGTCAGTTGTGGGTTCGCGAAACGTCCCGCTTATAAGCACTGGGTTTCTTCAGGCTCCTTACAACTTATTGAAGCCCATCAGTCTACTCCGGGTGACCGTGAGTTTGACCACAAACGAAGGATGTTACGTAATGAAATTGGGCAAAGCTTGCGTAAGGACCGAGAAGCCTGGTGGTCGGAGCGTGCTAATGAGCTGGAAGCAGCAGCTGCATCTGGTAATTACCGGAAGCTCTTCCAGCTCATCCGAGCCACTGGCAGCAAGAAGTCTGGTGTGAGTGAAACAATCTGCGAGGATGATGGGATGCCAATCACTAACATCCATCAGCGCATTGGACGATGGGCAGAATTCTTCGAAGAGCAGGTCAACTGGCCTGCTGCTCCGACAACATCGGTCAGACTGTCCTGCCCTCCATGGCCGGTGACGACTGATCCACCAAACGAGGAGGAAGTCTGCAAGGAACTCCAACTCTTGAAGCGTTACAAATCACCTGGCCCAGATGACTTACCTCCGGCTCTTTTTAAAGATGGTGGTGACTTTTTGACTAAGGAATTGACGACGTTGTTTACCAAGGTTTGGGAACTAGAGAGTGTACCAACGTCATGGAATGAGTCGATAGTTGTCCCTATCTTTAAAAAGGGTTCACGTCGTTCCTGCAACAACTATTGGGGGATAAGTCTACTTCCGATTGCGTCCAAGCTATTGGCTTCCTCATACTTTGTAGGTTGTTCAAAACCCGAGAAAGATTGACTCGCGAGAAGCATGCTGGGTGTCGTTCTGGTCGATGATATATTGATCACATCTTCACCGTCTGCCAAATGGTGGAACACTGTCATACTTATCACAGGCCAACAATCGTATTGTTTCTTGACATCAGGGCTGCTTTCGATTAGTTGGACAGGACTGTTCTCTGGGATTGTCTATTGAAGAAGGGTGTGTCTGAGAAGTTTATTAACATTTTATAAACTCTATATACAAACACCTCAGGCAGAGTGAGGGCATACAACCACCTCTCTCCATTGTTCCATTCGAGTAGTGGGGTTAGGCAGGGTTGCCCAATCTCACCATTCCTCTTTAACTTTGCCATCGATGACATTCTGGAAACAGCTCTGATGAATGTAAGTAATGGTGGTGTGGATCTGTTGCCTGGAGAAAGACTTCTCGACCTTGAGTATGCGGACGATATTGTCTTACTGTGCGATAATGCCCAAGGCATGCAATCCGCACTTAATCAGTTGGCAACCAGTGTCCGTAGGTATGGTATGTGCTTTGCACCTTCGAAGTGCAAAGTACTTCTACAAGACTGGCAGGATTCCAATCCTGTACTCACCCTGGATGGTGAGCAGATAGACGTAGTCGAGAAGTTCGTGTATCTGGGTAGCTGTATAAGTGCTGGTGGGGGTGTGAGTGATGAGATCAATGCACGTATAGTGAAAGCCAGAGCGGCTTATGCCAATCTGGGCCATCTTTGGCGCCTTCGTGATGTTAGTCTGGCTGTAAAAGATCGGATCTACAACGCGTCGGTGAGAGCAGTTTTGCTCTATGCTTGTGAAACCTGGTCTCTCCGAGTTGAGGACGTTAGACGACTCTCTGTGTTCGATCATCGCTGTCTCCGAAGGATTGCTGACATTCAGTGGCAACACCATGTCAGTAATGCAGAGGTTCGGCATCGTGTGTTCGGGCACAGAGATGATAATTCAATTGGTGTCACCATCTTGAAACACCGACTTCGGTGGCTTGGACATGTTCTACGAATGTCGGCCCAGAGAATTCCACGTCGTGCATTATTTGCCGACTCTGGGACTGGTTGGAAAAAGCGGAGAGGTGGTCAGTGTATGACATGGTGTCGTGGTATGAAAGAAAGCTGCAAAGGGCTGGCTTCTGTTGGTCCTTCACGACTCCCTGGTTGGGGTCCGAGAGATGGTGCTACACAGTGGCTAGAGACGTTATCAGATATGGCTCAGAATAGAAGGCAGTGGCGATCCTGCTGTAACCTTCTTTTACTTTCTTCATAAAAAGTGGTTGTGTCTCCGTTACCTGAAAGATTTCTTCTAATTGTACCTTTGCGTTCCCTGTTTACTAGCACATTACCTTACACCAATTTCTTCGTTATTGTTCTCGTTTTTTTTGTGCTCCTTAGCTTTTTTTTTCTTTGTATTCCTCTTCGAATATTCATTGTTCTGTGTGGCGCATATATATTGGCGCTCTCTTGTACCAATATTCATGTGTCCAAATAAATAAATAAGAGAGAAAATTTGTAAAGCTGACGAAATGTCGATCAATGGCATTTGCTGACATCTTGGACGATGGGCACAGTTCTTCAAAGAACAATTCAGGTGGTCTGCCGCCTCAGTGACATCGATCGGACTATTTTGTCGTCCATAGCTGGTGATGGCTGATCCACCCAGCGAGGAGAAACTACACGTAACTCTAATTTCTGAAGCTCTATAGATCACCAGGCTTAGATGACGTACCTACGGCTTTTTTTAAGGAAAGTGGCCATGTTCTAGTTAAGGAACTTAATGAGTTGTTTGTATAAGTTTGGGAATTAGATTATGCCTAAACATCCTAAAATAGGATAATAGTCGTTCGTGTTTTTAAAAAGGGGACAAGTCTACTTTTTATTGCATCCAATTTATTGGTCTCATGCATACTTCGCAGTTCGTTCAAAATTCGTTAAAGATCAACTCGGGAGGAGCAAGTTGGTTTTCGTTCTGGTTGTAGATGTATTGCTCATGTCTCCACTCCCTGCCAACTTTAAAAGATGGACCGGAGCCTCTGGGACACTCACTCTTTGTATTTAACAGTTGGAAGTAGCAGGGAAGGTAGTCGTGTAAGTGTTGGTGGTGGCGTAGTTCACAAACATATACGTTGTTGTTGAGTTACATTAATATTATATTGTTTGGTTGTAAAAGTTGCTATACATGAAAGAGTATGATTTATATATTCTCTAAACATAAAGTTGATAGTTTGCGTAACATAGTAGAAATTTTAATAAATTCATCCTGGTTCTAGATTATCGACTAGCCAGTTAAGCAAACCACTAGTTTTTCGTTTAACCAACTGTCTTCAAAACCTTATCACATTGTCAATTATCTCGACAATACTCTAACTGACCATTTACTATCTTTCTCAAGCCAGCTAATGACTGAAAATTCCTTCTGTATCTCTTATAACTTCTCTGCTCATCACTAAAAAGCTGTTAGTCGATTGTTTTCCATGAGTACGTACCTCATGAATCTGTTATTATTATTATCATTATTATTTGAACACATAAATATTGGTATAAAGGGGCACCAGATATATATGCGCCACACAATAACAATGAGAATGGGAAGAGAAAAAGAATGTAAGGTGCGTATGATAGAGAAGAAAGCAAAAAAGAGAACAATAACGGCCACAGATTAGTGTATGGTAGTGTAATAATAATAGTAATGGGGGAAACAGAAAGGTACAACAAGAAAGAATCTTTTCAGTTAAGGAAGATACAACCACTTTTTATGAAGAAAGTAAAAGAAGGTTACAGCAGGATCGCCACTGGCTTCTATTCTGAGCCATATCTGATAACGTCTCTAACTACTGCGTTGTACCATCTGTCGGACCTCAGCCAAGGAGTCGTGAAGGACCAACAGAAGCCAGCCCTTTGCAGCTTTCTTTCATACCACGACACCATGTCATACACTGACCACCTCTCCGCCTTTTCCAACCAGTCCCAGCGTACTTAGGATATGACATATTCAACCACTCATGCACAATGTAGAATCTGACCCACACTGATTGTTTCAAGTTTTGATCATATTAAAACAGCGTGATCCTGGAGTAGTGCAAACAGTAACAGTATTAATGATACTAAAAAATATTATGTGTAGAAGTTATAATTCGAGAAAGAAAATATGCATTCGTGGAATAATAAATATATAAGGTTATTAGGTTACTTAAGATCTCCGAGAAGACAGAGCGCATACATCTACCCCATTGCAAATGATTTTAGTCCAAAGTCTAACCATTGGTTACGAAAATTACGAGTACTACAACCGGGTAGTCTGCACAGCTCAACCTATTAGTCGATGACTTCACGGACTGATACCACGTTTTGGTTTGGCTATCTCTAACTTCCAAATTACTCCTACATCAGCCATTATCGTGCGTGACGATAAGAGGTGGTAGGGATAGGTGATGCATGTCCAAACCACATCGGTCAACAAAAATTCACACTATCAATTTCTGTTTTGTACCATCTTTAATAATAATAACCTTTCATTTAATATGGAACATTTCTTGGTGTACTTTTTATCCCACGCCTTTTTAAACCAATATTGTGATCATTTTCATATAATTCTTTTAGTTTATATACTATTTTCGTCATGTTATAAACTGTTATTTGTTTGTATTGCCTACATTTTATACTCGTATTCTTTACTGTTCATATGTAGATGGAGTCGGACAACGATATAAACAGCCACTATAACAATGTATGTGATTCATTTGATAGTATGAATTTAAAAGAAAATCTTTTACGTGGAATTTTTGCATATGGTTTTGAAAAACCTTCTGCAATACAACAAAGAGCCATAATTCCGTCAATTGAAGGACGTAATGTTATAGCTCAAGCTCAGTCGGGTACCGGGAAAACGGCCACATTTAGTATTGCCATTTTACAACAAATCTGCACGAATGATCCACGTTGTCAAGCTTTAGTACTGGTTCCAACTAGGGAATTAGCGAAACAAATTCAAATGGTAATTTGTGAATTATTTATTATTATTACTGTTATCTTCGTCTTCCAACTAAACTATGAGTTTACTGCTCACCAGTACACTGTTCTGCCTTACTGTTGTACAACGTGGCACTACTAGTATTTGATCATAGATGCTTTCGAAGCATTACCCACATATAATGGAACCATAGGGTAATAGATAACGCGATGGGGTTTAAAGTGAACGGTACTGGGTTCGTGTCCTGGAGTGAACATCAACTCTAGAATGCAGGTACATCCAACTGGCAAGTCCCAAATAGGACGAAATGTGAGTCCTGGACTCCATGGCTAGCCATCATCCATTAAAAAATCCCCCAAATGCCCTGGTACGGCCGAGAGTGGGGTGAGTCCGCTCTCCCTCTCGAAATACTCTCACACGGCCGCGCGTATACAGCCTCTGACAGGGAAGTCCTACTCACTGCCTTCTCGTGGCGGGGAGTGTTGTTTACGAAATTGAGAGGACGAAACGTGAATGTCCGGCGCTTTAACCGGGTTGGTGGACATGGAGCATCAACCTAGGGGAGTTGGGAAATCCTGATTTCAAACCAATGATACACATGGGCTCCAGTATCCTGCGGGAAAAAATGGTATACGAACCAATTGTTGGTCACCGGCTTCCATGGGACTGCATCTCCTTACGATGCTCCACTGCCTTGTGGATCAGACCTTCAGGTCGAAGGCTCGGGGAGTGGCTCCCTAAGAAAATCATCTGCTTCGGTTTGGGCACCCGGGCAGTATCACAGCCCTCACACATATCGAATGAGATTTGTGTGGCGCATATATATTTGGTGCCTCCTTGTACCAATATCTATGTGTTTAAATAAATAAATAAATAGGGTAATAAATGCTGTGGTTAGACACAAGGTGTAAAGTAAGGTTAGAAATTCAATTTGAAAGTTGCAGATCTTCGTTGACTAATGTAGATGAGATAAAATATTAAGTATCACAAACGACCGCCTATCTCTGTTCGCGATGCTGGCTAAGGTAGTAATAAGTTGGAAGAAAGTTAGGAGCGGGCTACTAAAAAATTGACGTTAGTCTACTAAGTTATTGATTGTTGGACTGAGCCGTGTAAATGGAATGCATGCTATCTGCTTGCGGTCCCAGTTGATCTTCGTAACCGATAGCTGTTAATTCTTCGTGACCTCGTTTAAAATCGGTCGCAATAGAGTAAATGCATTCACTCTTTACTTAACCTTATACCTTGAGTTTTTAAGTTATCCTCTTTTTGCAACAACCTAATTATTTCCCCTCAAATCATATCTTTACAACTACTCCGACATTTTTCTTAACAATTTCATCTCTCTGTAATAATGTAGTGCAGCAACCTGGATTCGAAAATTCTAAAGCTATAATATGAATACACCACCTTTGTAACTGATTATGATCCGTGGCACCTAAAATTTCCATCCATTCACTACAATCATCAGAGTCCTTAACAAGGTGGTTTACATCTAACATATTACAGTTCACTAGTCAATGAGTTTATAAACTGATGTTATGCTTTCGTTTTGCTACTACTGGCATTTCTCTAACGCATATTTTTATGCCAACTACCATTGAAATGTTGAATTAGATAATGACTTGGAAAGTGTGATACATACCTCATACCGATTTATTTATTTGAATACATAAACATTGATTCAACGTGGCACCGAATACATATGCGCCGCACAAGTCCCCTGATTTGTGTGTGGGCTGTGATACTGCCAGGGTGCCCAGAGTGAAGCAGGTGGTTTTCTTAGGAGGCCACACCCAGAACCTTTGACCTTAAGGTCTAACCCACGAGGCAGTGGAGCAACGTCAGGAGATGTAGTTTGATGCTAGCCGACGACCAACGATTTGTTCATATGCCATTGGTTCCCTCAGGATCCTGGAGCCCATGTGCACCATTAGTTTGGAACCAGGGTTTCCCATCTTTCCTAGGTGCACTCTCCGTGTCCACTGATTCAAAGGCTCTGAAGTGTTCCCCTCATAAGAAAACCACCTACTTCATTTTTGGCACCTAGGGCAATATCCCAACCCTCATACAGATTCAATATCAAACTGTAACTCATATCTATTTGATGTTCAATCTGTATTTTACGTTAAAAGCAACTTTATTTACATTGTTTCTACAAACCAGTTAATGAAATAAACCATGAGTTTTATCATTCATTCAACTGACATCTACTTATAGTGACAACGTAATCGATCTCAATATTATTCAACCCAGATATTAATAGATTTTCTAATTCTTCCTTATTTTCCCCCTTGGCAAATTATTGTCGTTGAGATCATGAATCAGTCTTATAGAGTTAGGCAACCAGTGCTAGGGGTATTCCACATTAGGAAAAAAAGCTGTGCACTGCTCTCTTGTTTTCAGTGGTTTGTTTAACTGAGGTTAATTGATGATCTCGATAGTATTCAACAATCCCCCCAAAACTCCCCATAACTGAAAGTTATTACTTTGTTTTTCTTTATTGTAAATAGGTTGTTCTAGCACTTGGTGATTATATGAATATTAGTTGTCATGTTTGCATCGGTGGTACACAAGTATCAACTGATATCGAACAGTTAAAGTTAGGTCAACAAATTGTAGTTGGTACACCTGGACGTGTTTTCGACATGATTAGTCGTGGTTATTTACGTACAAAGACAATTAAATGTTTTGTATTGGATGAAGCGGATGAAATGCTTAGTTTAGGATTTAAAGATCAAATTCAAGATATATTCCGATCACTTGATCCAGCTGTTCAAGTAAGTTTATTATTATTATTATTATTATTATTATTATTATTAAGCCTTTAAGGTATAGTGGTTCAAAATAGGGTATATCACTCTGTATTCGGCAAGTAATTTGCCGCAGGAAATTTTTGGCACGTAGCGATTATTAATAACGTTAAACTGCTAAGTTAGAACCTATTGGTTGACACTGTCAACTTCAATTGATTAGTGGTATATTTGGCACTGAAAAAAATGAACAAAATAAGGTATAATGCGAATATTTCTACCATGGAGATTCGAAGTAGCATGAATTGCTATCGTAATCGATATTTAACCCATATAGTAAGGCTTATTACATAAAAAGTGATGTACTAAGTAGGAATGATAATGAAGCATATAGAACGATAAATATGACTTTACATTTTGGATTGTCATCTTAAAAAAGCTATACAGTTGTTTTTTCAGTTGTTGCATGTTAATTATATCTGGCGGTGAAATGACAGAATGTTATCATCTTTGTACGTAAAATTTGACTGGTATTCTCATTTACTTGTCTCACAACCAACACTAGTTCAGTATTGTATTAGTGGTTGGTGTAAATCAAAACTGATTTGATAAGTTTACAGAGTAAAACCTTACATCCAATTATGCTTTCTCAGAACGCAATTAATGGTTTAAGTTAAAAATCTAACTATTATTGATAACTTCATTATTTGTCAGTTTAAATAATTGGAGGAAGGTTTGAACCTACCGTCCGACAACTGGATGTTAAGTTCTTTAGTCAGTTAGTTACAACGTAGGACCAGGCACATATATGCATCGGTCCGAGTTGCCATATCTCATTAGTACAACAAGATGAACACCAAATTCATAGAAGTAGTTACTTCAATGGTAGTAATATATAAAAGAAAGATTGTGTATAAGAATATAATACAGGGAGAAAGAATTAGAAGTAAACGTATCAAGTAATTTTAATCTCACGCTTTAAAGGAAGATAAAGAGTGTATACATCGATGCCATTGTGATGGCGCACCGGTTCTCGTCCGATCACCGCAGTTAAGCAACGTTGGGCCCTATCAGTACTAGTTTGGGTGACAGGCTGGGAATACCGGTTGTCACCGGCGACCATGCCACATCAAGTTCTTTAAGCAATTCTCTTATGATTAACAGATTCTATTATTAGCACGATAATGAATAAGTTACACGAAAAGTCTATTTTCCAGTCCATCATTATATACCAGGTAGTCTGTAAGTGTTATAGTTCAAATCTGATACTGAATAAGACTTTCTAGATCAAATTTCAATCTTTCCCTTTCAATATGATTTGTATGACTTCATCGATAAAGTGAACTTTTGTAATAGATTTTTTCACTGTTTCAATCAATCAAACGGAAACCAGTTTTATATAACTATTCATTTGTGTATATCCTGGCGATCATTGTTTTTCTGCACTGTCATGGTTACTATTTGCGTGGAAAATTTACGCCCACTTGTTGTCTCATTGTACTGTTTTTCACGCGCTACTTTATGAACATATTTTCATGCTACTGAATAATGCACAAGTAGTTTGAAATTCTGTTATTAAATTATCATTTATTGTATGCAGATTACAGGTGTTTGTAGCTTGCTTGTTATCGGTTTCTCTCTATCCTTATTACGAATACTTATCTAGATTCCTTTTTTAACGATGAATCGACTTCAACAATTTGACTGTTGGGCTTATCTCCTGTGTAATAATAAACAATTATTAGATAGGGGTATATTTCAAACAAGCTTGTCCTCAAGCACAAATGACTGGTATGAATGCGTAAATGTCAAGTATATGTAGGTTATTGTGTATAACTATAAAAACTGTCTTTAACCATAGTCTAGTATTTAGATTTAGTACGAGACCATTACATAAACATTTATTACATGACCAGTAACAACTGAATCATTTGGAGTGCGAATGACACATAATTGATTTTGTTTTCAATCATCTTTGACATGGATTAACATCTTAAGAAGAATTCTGACTGTTAATCTAAGTGGAACTAAATAATATCAGACGCTGTGCATTCCTAAATCATTTTGATTTGTATCAGCAGTCAAATAAATTCTTATCATCAGTCTTTGATTCTTGCACTTCGCTCCTTTTCTCTTTAATCACGTTACTGTGTAGATTTAGTCAGAGGCTATTAGAAGTGACTAGAAAATTGGATCTTATATTCAATTAGCAGACTTATCTATGTTCAAGCATTCATATACGTATATAAGTCAACTAAAGGACGAGTTTTCTGTACAGCAGTTCTTTCCGTCCTACTTTAATGGCTGTGAAACATGGCCGGTAAGAGTAGAGGATATTTGTAGGTTACTAGTTTTCGATCATAGGTGTCTTCGAAGCATCGCTCGTATATTCTGGGACCATCGAGTAATTAATGCAGTTGTTAGGAAAGGGGCACCAGGTAAGGATGGCAAACCAATTGATAAATAATGAAACTTCATCAGTTGAGATTGCTGGGACACGTGTTACGTATGCCCAACGACCGACTGCCTCGACCTGCGATGTTTTATGGTGTAAGAGTAGGTCGGAAGAAAGCTAGGGGCGGCCAAACCAAAACATGGCACAAGTCCATGAAGTCACTGACAAGTGAACTGAGCCATGTTGGTAGGTGTAGACTACTTGGTTGGGATCCTCGAGACGATAGAGATCGATGGTTAAAGACCTTGAATGAAATGGTTCAAAATCGTTAGCAATGGCGCAGGTGCATCCACTCTTTATGTTCTCCCAAGTTCTAATCTTCTGAATTCTTCATGTCCGTTTGTTTTTTCTCTTTCCAAATTTATTTCACTGGATTATACTCCTTGAATAACATCTTCAAACTATAATATTTCCAATTACTGATCATATATTTACTACCTCTGCTACTAAGGGATTTGAACCGACAAATGTATCTGTGTGGTAATGTGGTACGGCAACTTGAACTGATGTACATACGTACGAAGCTCTAGGTTGTTGCTGACTGACTGACTGATACGTATATATGTGCGCAAGTAAAAGCTCATGATTACTCACAGGAGCAAGTGATACCTAACCAGTCTTATGATGATTTTACATTCGACCATCAACTATTTGTTCTATATCTTCCTAACACTGATCAAAAGGATAGGCGTGTAAAATTGCTGCGAAAATCGAAACGATTATTCTCTTCAGAAGTTAGGATAGGGCCACTACAACATTATATATGTTACCTAGGATCATTTTATTGATCCCTACAACTAAATTGTTACTAGATGACATCAAAATAAACAGGATGTAGTGTTAATAATGTGAAAGTTTCAGTTAGTAGAACAGTTAAACATTGTTAATTGTGGGATGGTGGAGAAGAGTTCAGGTGGATGATTTTAATGAAGTTTCTTTGTTTGAGCTGGATTGTTTGGTCGTGGACCTTTCATCATTCTTCTGAACAACATCATCAACACAAAATCCATTTACAGATGATGTTGTTCAAGTTTTTATATAGTCATTCTTTTAATATATACTTCTATTATATCTTATATTTTGATATTTGTTAAAAAAGTTCTTTTTAGTGAAAAATTCAGTTGCTAAATAAACAAATCTTTCAATTTACACATAATTTCTATAAAACAAGTTGCTCTTCATTTAACCCCCAAATGCCTTGTTATGGTTGAGAGTGAGGAGATTCAACTCTCCCTTGTAGTTTCCATAATAATTATTCTTATTTATTCATTTAAACGCATAAACATTGGTACAAGGAGGTACAAAACAGATATACATCGCACAAATCATTCGATTTGAGTGAGGACTATGATACTTCCCGGATGCCCAGACCCAAAGTAAGTGGTTTTCTTAGGGGGTCATACCCGAAGCCTTCGATCCAAAGGTCTGGTCCACAAGGCAGTGGAGCGACGTCGGGAGATGCAGTCCTATGGTAGCCAGTTGTTATGTTTGAAGCGATTACGAGTTCACCTACTCTGCGAACGGAACAAAAACTCTGACCAAAGACCAATAAGCTAGCTATTATGATGCGTCCCAACCCCACTAACTAGAGAGAGAAGTTCAAGTTCGAAACGGGGAAATATATTTCGCAAGCAGCCAGAAGCTTGGAGAACCACGACAAGCACAAATCAAACGTATATATACAGCATAAAATTGTCATTGGGAAGTGTTACAAAATAGCATACTAAAAGATACAACGAACCAATAACGTTTAAGATTCTCCCAAGTGGGAAATACGACATGAAATTGAAAAAGCGATTTTGGCGTGAAAACAAGAAACTCAAATTTTCAAAATAGAATAACAAAAATAAGGTATTTACCAAATGAGTTCTGGGGATCTAACATCCACAACACCAGTGACCGATAATTGGTTCATATGCCATTTCTTCCTTCAGGATTCTGGAGCTCATGTACACCATTGGTTTGGAATTAGTGTTCACCAATCCCCTAGATAGATCCTCCGTCTCTACCAACCCGGTTAAAGCATCGAACATTCAGTTTTTGTCCTCTCAATTTCGTGAACAACATTCATACCGCGAGAAGGTAGTGAGAAGGACTTCTTTTTGAGTAGCTGTATACGCGTGGCCATATGACAGCATTTCGGGAGAGAGAGAGCGGAAGAGCTGGCTCTCCTTACCTTCGGCCGCACAAAGGCATTTAAGAGCCTACTTTTGAATGGTTCATTTCTGTATCCATATTTTTACCATTTTGTTTTCTTACGTGTACTTCTTAATATTTTGTTCTCGTGAGAAGCAGCGACCAGTAGGTTTCAACCGGGCCTGTCGTGAGATAGTAACTCACTGATGACAATAGTGGATATGTCGCTCAATTTCGTGGATTAGTTGAAGTCAGATATTAACACCGTTGGATATTGGCCGGGTCAGTAGTTTAGCGGTTAAGCGCTCGCGCGTGCGATTGATAGGTCCTGGGTTTGAATCCCGCGAGGTGGGGTCGTGGATGCACACTACTGAGGAGTCCCGCAGTTGGACGAAACGGCTGTCCAGTACTTCCATAATCTCAACCATTGAAATTACTACAACCTTCACAAAACTCCTACTGATATATTTTTTTTCTCTTTTTCTCAGATTATTTTATTGTCAGCAACAATTCCTGACGAAGTATTAGAAATATCAAAACAATTTATGCGTAATCCAGTACGTATTTTATTAAAACAAGAAGAATTAACATTAGATGGTATACGTCAATTTTATGTTAATGTTGAACAAGAAGAATGGAAATTAGAAACACTATGTGATTTATATCAATCAATTACAATAACACAAGCAGTAATATTTTGTAATTCACGCAGAAAAGTTGAATGGTTAACAAACGAATTAATTGAACGTGATTTTATTGTATCAGCAATGGTAAGCATAATTCACATTTCATTTTATGGTAATTTAGACTATTGTAATATACTACATGTAAATATTATCTATCTGGAAACTCAGTGGTCTTGAGTGCTGTTAGAGGTATGAGGGCGGTTATCACTTCCCGGTTGCCCACACCGTGGAAGGGTTCTTCTGGAGGTACCTGAAAAGGAAATTGGATTAGAGGTGGTCTTAGTGACCTGAGGGCATGACCTCAGTGCCCAAGGGACAACTGCTTGAGGTCGGTCACAAACGACCTTTTTGTGAGTAATTTTCGTGTTAGCTCCGTACTTGTTGAGACCTTACCGCCGGAAACGGATATGCGTGGGATAAGGCGAGGTGTGCACTTTTATTGTCGACCTTTTCTAACTCCACCCCTCCTTGTGGAACGGCAGCATCGGTGTTATGCTGGTTGTCTGAAGGAAACAGCTTACTGCTGTCACACCTCTGTACAGTGAGCAGTACGACTTCGCCTTCGGAACGGTTGTTCCAACCAGTATAGCTCGGTTGCTTCATCACGATAGGCAAGCCCGATCACCACGTCAAGGTAGCAACAACGGTTGGGTATCTGGAAACTGAGACTTACTGATGACTTAACCACTAAGCCATCTGATTTACAAATAGAAATATACCTTGTAAAATGGTAGTCTTACATTGGTTCTCAATGTTGGGGAAATTCAGAAAACTCATCTGAAAATGCTGAGAAACATCTTATCCAATCAGCATTCATTAGAATTTTTGCCAGAAGCATTTGGAACGTGACAAGTCAAATGTTAACTTTCTAATTGGATGATTACCTATATCGTTCCAGAATTTTCCGGAAGCTCGAGACCATCTAAAATACTATAAATACCCTAGATTTTCAGAACATAAACGAACATTGGAGTAAAGCATTTTTTCCATATTTCGCACCTTTTCTCTCGTGTTCAATTCGCCATGTAGATTTAGTCTGGAAGTTACTCAAAAGAGATTATGAGACCGAAAGTTCAATTAAAAGACTTATCACTATTGTAAACAAAATAAAACCTTAAAATTTCATCAAAAGTTTTATCTATAGAGCATTAGATAAAAAGGGGGGATCAACTGACGAGACAGTAAATCTTCTTTGTCTGAGATAACAGGGACGTGTATCACATCTGTTAGATCATCACCTGCATTGACGCGCAATATTGATTGATTTAAAACAATGAGTAGATTAAAGCAAGGGTTCATAGAAATTGTGACTCAAAATCAGTTTGTAAAGTCATTAAACGTTGGTTTTTGACGTATTGGTTGATTAGAAACTGACTGATTTATGTTCAGATGATAATCGTGATCAATGATTGCACACTGTGTTAGACATTAGCTCGAAATCGGTTGTAGTAGCCTTATGTATTTATTCTAACACAAACATTGGTACAAGGAAGCATCAAATAGATATGCGCCACATAAATCATTCGATTTGTGCGAGTGCTTAGATACTATCTGGGTGCCCAAATCGAAGCGTTTGTTGTTGTTAGGTGGCCATACCCCAAACCTTTGATCTAAATGTTTGATCCACAAGGCAGTGAAGCAATGTTATGAAGTGCAGTTCCATAATAGTCGGTGACCAACGATTGGTTCATACGCCATTTGTTTCCTCAGGATACTGGAGTCCATGTACACCATTGATTTGGAATCAGGGTTTTCCAACCCCTCTAGGTGGATCCTTTATATCCACCAACCCAGTTAAAGCACCGGACATTCGCTTTTCGTCCTTTCAATTTCGTAAAAAACAGTAATGCTGCTAGAAGGCAGTAAGTAGGAATTTCCTGACAGTGGCTGTATAAACATGGTCATGTGAGAGCATTTAGAGAGAGAGAACGGTCTCTCCTCATCCTCAGCCGTACCAGGGCATTTGGGGGCTTTATAGCTTTATAGAAACTTAAACTCGATTGTTTCACAGTCAATACTAAAATAAAATATTTTTTATTCTGGTTAGCGTTTTCTTTTTAGCAAGGTTATATTTAATAAGATGAGGTTGCCGACCTTATCCCCAATCCTCCTCCTTTGTATGGGCTTATGATTAGCATTAACCCTAGAAGAGCTACAGTCGGAGTTAGAATAAAATATCATCAACTGAAATCAATATTACAGTTTATTTAACTAACCTTTCAATGTTTTATTTATCTTATGTATGATTCTTTTATATTCAATAATTCATTAGCATGGTGAAATGGAACAAATAGAACGTGATAATATTATGACAGCATTTCGAAGTGGTTCAAGTCGTATTTTAATATCTACTGATCTATTATCACGTGGTATTGATGTACAACAAATTTCATTGGTAATTAATTTTGATTTACCAACAAATTTAGAAAGTTATATACATCGGTAAGTGAATATTATACTATTATTATTATTATTATTATTATTATTATTATTATTATTATTATTATTATTATTATTATTAATACTGCAAAATTGAGAGGACGAAAAGCGAATATCTGATGCATCGACCGGGTTGGTGGATATGAACGATCCATCTAGGGGAGTTGGAAAACCCTGATTCCAAACCAATGGTGTATGCATGGGCTCCAGTATCCTGAAGGGACAAATGGTGTATGAACTAAATGTTGGTCACCGGTTACCATGTGATTGCATCTGATGTTACTCCACTGCCTTGTGGATCAGACCTTTAGATCGAAAGCTCCGGGTATGGTCCCCTTAGAAAACCACCTATTTCGATCTGAGCACCCTAACAGTATCACAGCTTATACACATATCAAGTGACTTGTGTGATGTATATGTATTTGGTGCTCCTTTGTACCAATATTTATGTGTTCAAATCAAATCAAACAAATACCAAAAACACCGCGAATCGTATAAGAAATTTATTTGTAATATAGAATTAGTCAATAGGTTATAAGCATTGTAGAAACTGGCACGTGTATATATCGGTTCTAGATGCTACACTGTATAAACACAACGAAACGTACAACTTATTAAAACAAATATCAAATTAGTAGAAACATCAATAGTATCCATGACAAAGAGTGAATACATCTGCACCATTGTGACTAATTCTGTGTTATGTCACTTAAAGTCTCCAACTGGGGAGTTTACATATTCCTACTCAGCTTATTCCGATAATCAGTAATTTTGTAGACTGATATGACTCCTTGATTTTTATAACTTTAGTTTCTTTTAAACCTATTCCTATACTAATTATCATAGCAGATTGTTATAAGCAATCGTTGGGTATATGTAATTTATGTACTAATCACGTTGGTTGTCGAATATTAACAATATTACCTGCCTATTATCTATATTTATCTAATACTCTTTGTCTAACCTCAGTATTGTTTACACAATGGTCCCATAATACGAGTGCGATACTTCTCAGGTATTCATAACCAAATACTAGCGACTTACGAATGTTACCTATTTTGATGACCACATTTTGGGAAGTTAGAATACGGAACAAAAATAAAGTGTATGCTTAAAGAATTAACTTTTTATGTTAGTTATTGCTTTTTATGCTTTGAATACGAAAATCATTCGGTAAAAAAATTTATTTGTCTCTCCAGAATATTTATGCACTTCATTGCAATGATTACTGGAGCACTTATAATCCAGTATTCAATTGGGAACGGCAGAAAAAGTTATTTCTGATCAGTTTATCATGCCAACGTACATCTCATCGTTGTTTCGATAGTTTATAGGCAAAGTTAACCAGTTTTCATGTTAGGTATAGAAACTCAACTTTAACCATATACATAATACGAGTCTATTACTACTATGTTCGAGGGACTAAGATATCACCTTAAACTGGCAAACAGAATGTAATCCAACAACACTAACAGGACGAAGATGAGACATTCGTCCGCACATCAACCCTGCTAACTAGAGAAAGAATACCAGAATCAACAGAGAATAGATATATAATTTTAAAAGCAACCCGGAAGAACGAATAACAAGCACTCAACTCATGCGTAATATATACAAAACAAAAATGTCATTGAAAAGCGTCACAAAATTACATACTAAAAAATGAAACAAACCAATGACGTTTAAGCTCCTTTCAGGTGGGAAACAAACTGAAAGTAATAATAGGCGCTTTTGTGGCGAAAATGTAAACTTAAAGTCTTCACAATTAAGTCACAAAAAAAGAAGTTTACCGAGTGCATTCTGGAGGTCTAGCATCCCTAACAACTCCCATTTTCATTAGCGTATATTCCTGGTATTCAACTGCATCTTGACTGTTTGTCGCCGTTGTCTCATCAACCTTCTGGAACGCAAGCCAGTTCATTTATGAAATTCATCGCGACCGGGGGTACGTTGAATGTATCCATCAGGACTTTAAGCAGGAGATTTCTGTTTGTCTATGGGAGATATAAGATTAATCATTTTGGTAGCTGGCGCCGGTGTCTAGTCCACCTGTCTCTTTCACCTCTAGTTCATACATGACTTGACCTCGCTTTTCGACCACACGTAATTCCGTGTAGGAATTGTGGTTCGGTTTATAGTCCCGAGAAAGCACTGGACACCCAACCTTGTCCGTTGGCAGTTCCTGGGACTCTGTCTATATAGTCCTCTGTAGCATCGGGTTGTGGATCGTCATTAGTCAGGTGCTAACATCAGTTGAGCTATTTCCATTTTGCCCTAAAAAAGCACGTTACTGAACATTATGTTCCGCTGTATGGTATTACTCCTTCACATAAGCACCTTTCAGACAAAATAAATAAATAAATACAAAGTCTCTGCATATCATCAGTTTGGAATGGCTCATAATTTAATATGTATAGAGATTTGAATTTTTCCCGTTGTTTATATTAAGCCTTACAATTGATCAATATCTATTACTATATGTACATCCTATAAATATCAACACTGGAATACAGTGTACATTTAACTGTTGAGTCCGAAAGCTAATTTCTTAACATGATTTCAAGCCATCATTCGACTTGAAGGAAAATGTACAATTTTTTGATAATTATATTAATTTCACAGATTGAAATCATGAGTCAATTGAAGCTAGACCACCATGTGAAACCTGGAAGTACTGGACGGCCGTTTCATCCTAGTATGGGACTCCTCAAAAGTGCTCATCCACGATCCCACACCTCACGAGATTCGAACCCAGGACATTTCAGTCTCGCGCTAAGCGCTTAACCATTAGACCACTGAGCTGGCCGGCATTCAATGGTGTTAATGTCTAACTTCAACCAATCCACCAAGTTGCGCCGTTGTATACCATTGTCTTCAGTAAGCTGATATCTCACAACAGACCTGGTTGAATTCCACTAGTCACTGCTTCTCACTAGAACTCCAGGAGTATCTCTTGAAGTCAGTCACTAGTGAGCAGATGATTGATATCATGAACCGATTGATGTTAGACCATCATTGAAAACTTAGAAACAGTAGACGGCGATGATCTAACATCAATTGATTCATGATCTTAATCAATAAATTAATAATCTCCACAATCCTATATTGATAATTATATTAATCTCTTTCATAAAGTAACTTTTAATTCTTCCTTTCCTCCCCCCCTTTCTATTTATTTAATTATTACTTTTTTTTATAGTATTGGTCGTGGAGGTCGTTTTGGTCGTAAAGGTGTTGCTATCAATTTTGTTACATTAGCTGATGAACGTTTATTAAAAGATTTAGAAAAATTCTATAGTACAAAAATTAGTGAACTTCCAATGAATGTAGCTAATTTATTTTAGAATTAAAAAGAAAGTATCTCTTCATATTTGATACATACATACATACATACATACATACACACACACGCATGAATATATGGTTGACAACCTTCATTCATTCATTCATTCATTCGGAAAAAAACTTTCTTTTCTTTATCATATACACATATCTATTATCATTTTTATTTAAAAAAAAGTTTATTGAATATGTATTTTCCCAATTTGTTTTTCTCTTTTCTCCCTTCTTCTTCTTCTTCTTCTTCTTCGTCTCTATTTCAGTTTTATCTGTCAAAAATGATAAGTAAAAACTCATCTTTAACTGAATTATGTATTCTCTTTGTTCATTCATAAACTTGTTGGAATATAAATGAACCTTATTTGTTGTTGTTAGATGAATAGTGCTGGTGGGTGGTAGTCTATACTCCTCCACGAGAAGTGACAGGTGTAAGTAAGTAAGTTTGTTGTTGTTGTTGTTGTTGTTGTTGTTGTTGATAATTCACTGTTTCTTCTTTTCAATACAGTATTCATGGATCTTGTTCATTGTTACTTCTAATGAATATCATGTTTAATGTGTTCGCATTGAATTCTTCTCATTACATTGAATTGGATTGATATTAAACAATATTCATTTATTCTTTGACTTCTGATTAGTAGTCACATTGTTCTTCTTTCCTTTAGATCTTGTATGTGATGAATTGTCTTTTTATTGTCATTGTTGTTGATGATGATGATGATGAGGAGGAGGATTCACTGTTTCTTCTCTTCGATACAATGTTAATAAATCTTGTTCATTGTTACTTCTAATGAGTAGTATGTTTAATGTGTGTTCCCATTTTGTTTCTTATGATTGGATTAATGTTAAACAATGCTCATTTATTCCTTGACTTCTGATTAATAGTCATCTTGTTCTTTTTTTTATGATCTTGTATGTGTTGAATCATCGTCTTCTTCTTCCTCTTCTTCTTTCTTTTTCCCCACTCAATTAGTTCTGTATAGAAAGCTTTCATTTCATTTTCTATTTCTATTCTTTATTTAAGAAAAGAAGTAACTTTTATTATAGAAATATACAATTATCTTAAATAGAAATCAACAACATTGGTTGTGATGGTTTAACTGCTGTAAAACAGTATAATATTGATTCATGAACAAATAAGAAAAAAAAAGTACTTTGATAATTCATCTGTTCCTACTGTGTTCACAATTCGCGTATTGCTATTTTTTTTCTTCTTCTTCTTCTTCCAATTGTTGCTAAGAGCATCATTAGTCCCCCTTTTTCTTGTCTTATCTTAATAGTATGATATTATGATTGGTATCTATTGAACTATATATTCTGCTGTATGTTGAATGAAGGACTGATTGTTTCATGTAGTTCTTTGAAGATAATGTGTATGTGTGTGTGTGTGTGTGTGTGGTGTCTTTCAGATGTCTACTTGTCAATTGTTTCTGTTACGAGGGGATATCATTGAAATTATAAAAAAAGGACTTGTTTTTTTGTTTTTGTAAATGTGATTATTCATCATTCTATACACCTTTCTGTCCTACTTCTCTATCGTTGGTTATTTGGATCTCAGTCCTCTTTTTTTTTGTTTTTTTTGTGTGTGTTGTTTGTCATCTTAAGCCTGTATCATCATTATTACTGATAATATTATTAATATTACTCTATTTTAATTGCCATTAGTAACTCATGGTCAATAGTCTTCGAGTATAAATATGAAAAGGTAGCCATTGTATTTATGTATGTACTATTTTAGTATTGGATTTAAATTGATTCATTCATTCATTACATATTCGTAGATGGTATTCGTCATACGAACACTGGAGAGTTGTTTTGCTCTAATATGGTATTCAACAATGCCAATCTATAGTACCACTAAGGATCATTATTATTTAAACACAGAAACATTGGTACAAGGAGGCACTAAATATATATATGCGCCACACTTCATCATCTGATTTGTATGGGGGCTGATATACTGGCCAGGTGCCCAAACTGAAGCAGGTGGTTTTCTTAGAAGGCCACTCCTCGGACCTTTCACCTAAAGGTCTAGTGTACAAGGCAATGAAGCAACGTTAGGAGATGCAATCTCATGGTAGCCGGTGACAAAGAATAGGTTCATACACCTTTTTTCCGTCAGGATCCTGTAGCGCATGTATACCATTTTTTTGAAATGAGGGTTTTCGAACTTCCCTAGATGGACTCTCCGTGTCCATCGACCCGGTTAAAGCACCGAACATTCACTTTTCGTCCTCTCAATTTCGTGAATAATAGTAATGCTGAGAGATGGTGAGTAGGACTTCCCTGTCAGTGGATGTATACATGTGTTCATGTGAGAGCATTTCGAGAAGGGAAGCTAACTCTTCCCACCTTTGACCGTACCCAGGGTTTTAATTGCACGCAGTGAACACCTAACCACTGGGTCGGCATCCAGTGGTATAATTACAGCTTTAATCAACTTGCTATGTGACGCAACTATCATTCATAGTTATGAGTAACAACTGTTTCATTTTTGACAAATCTGAACTCCAACAACTTCAACCGTGACTAAGTAACTAGTCAGTAGTTCGCTTGCTCGGCTTTCATTCCTTTTAATTATGATGGCTATCAGTATAATATCTGACCGCTCAAGCTAAATAAGATGAAGTGGGATTCGGATTTTTAACAAAATGAATGAAGGTTGATTGTTATAAGTAATGTAAGGCGCTGTTATAACGTACATATTTAAATACTGGTGTGTCCAATTGATACACTGTGATTATACAGGCTTTGAAATGCTCAATATACACTAATCGTATCATTTCTTCATGTGGTACTCCACATTTTTTGGTAGATAATTCACTTGTATTATCTCAGATTCAGTTACTCAGAACGTCTATGGATATTCTCAGATTTTGACCACAGATGTCTAAGAAATATTGCCAGCATCTATTGGGATCACCGGGTAAGTAATAGTGAGGTTGAAAGTAGTGTATTAGAAAATGATGGTAAATCAGTTGATGAAGTTGTGCATCTTCATCGACTGAGATGGTTGGGCCACGTGTTACATGTTGGAAGAAAGTTATGAGGGCGGCCAAACCAAACATGGCATCAGTCCTTGAAGTCACTAACGTCTGTTCTGAGCCATGTTGGTAGATACAGACTACTTGGTTGGGGTCTGCCTGACTATCGTAATCAATGGTTGGAGACTCTGTGTGACATGGCTCAGAATCGATCACAATGGCGTAGGTGTATATACTCTCTGTTTTCTCTTAAACTATGAGATTAAAATTACTTTATATCTTTCTTCCTACGAACTAATTCTTCCTTCCTGTACTATATCCTTATACATAATCTTTCTTCTATATATTACTACCATTGAAGTAACTACTTCAACGAATTTGTTGTTTACCTTGTTACGCTAATGAGGTGTGGCAATTTGAACCGATGTATATATGTACCTGGTCCTACCTTGTGGATGACTGGTTCTCAAATTTTACTCTCCAACCGCAAATACGTTATCAGGTCCGAATTTTCTTAACTCACTTTATCAGCAATCTTTCAGATAGTGAATCAGCTACGAGAAATCGCAAGAGACGGACATATGATAATCTTTCTCTTGCATCTGACTTTATCGCTAAATATTTGGTCCACTTGAGAAGAGGTATTTTAATCATTTGGCTATCAGGATTCAATAGCTAAATGGATAACGCGATGGCGTTTGTAGCGAACGATGCTGGGTTCGAGTCCCAGAGTGAACATCAAACCTGAGATGTAAGTACATCCGGTTGACAAGTCCCAAATAGGACGAAACGCGCGTCACGCTGGATTCCTCTGCTGATTACTATCCATCTTTGCTTATAAAGCTTGTGAATTCAAGCAATATTGAGGCAGGATGCACATATGCTAACAAGAGACTAATGAATTGTAGTCTTAAATGACAATGGTAAGATACAAGTAAACAACACCAAGTGAATAGATTAAGTTTCAATAGAAAATTCAACAGCTCATTTCATTTACATACTGGATAAATCATGGTATATCACATTCCTTAAGTAGTACGAATGATGGACTAATTGATTGATTAGTAGCCATATGATAAGTCAAATACCTATAGAAATCGGGTTGTATATATTTTGGATTCGAAAAACTAACTCTGGAACCTTGGATTATCATGTGTTGCCTGTTTAAGTAGAGAAAATGTTAGTTTATCTATGGAAGGATCATATGAATTCAATTATAATCTATTCAGCTTTTTTATTCTACACAAATGTAATAACTTTTGGCATTAACTAGTTTACCTTATTCCTTCTAATATATTAATTTAGTAAAATTCAAACTTCCACATTTTCGTGTTATGTTTAATCATTCTGAATTTACATTGTGGTGGTCGGTATTCCATATAATCTTTAAACCTCGTATACAGCTCGTCTTGATAACCGTTCTATATAACGTTCCAACGGTATATTAATCAGAAGACAAATACGAAGTGTTGATTACGTTTATTAAGAGACCACACACATATATCCAAATGTACAGATGCGTTAAACAAGCATAGAAGAGTTGTGCTGAAAGGCAAGCAAGCGAGCGAGAGCCATAGCAAAGCAATTTTGACACGTATGGAAGATGGCTGGGAAGCCAACTCCAATTCAAGCCGAGCATTACTCAATTTTTATAGGTAGACAAAATAAACTACAGACATGTGATAAGTCATAGGACATGAAGTGTACACACATATATGCTCATGTGAAAACAGTCAAGGCTAATAAGCGAATAATTAACAAGGTCAAAACATGACTCAAGTGGAACGAATAGAATGGAATGTCCGGAAACTAGAATAAGATATATTATGGGCTAAAACTAATGACTGACACTACAACATCACCAACTGGTATTAGACAAACCGAAGCAATGAACGGCTCTTTCATCTTGATATGACATGTCTCAGTTGTATACATCCAAAACCCTACCATTGGGTGGCAACTGTGCTATCTATAGGTCAAACACACAGCAAAACCTAAAGGTGCTGGATCCAATCCTTAGTGGG